GATGTGACATGGTATCTCACAGTGGTTTTGATTTACATTTCACTGATGATGAGTGATGTGTTGAGCATTGTTTCATATGCTTGTTGGCTGCACATGTCTTCTTTTGAGAAGTGTGTGTTCACGTCCTTTGTCCACTTTTTAATGGTGTTTGGTTTTTGCTTGTTGACTTTTGTTCAAGTTCCTTATAGATTCTGGATATTGGATTTTTGTTAGAAAAAAATACTCACAATTCTTAAATAATTGTGAATATTTTCTCCCATTCTGTAAGATGTCTGTTGATAGTTTATTTTGCTGTATAGAAGCTCTTCAATGAGGTCTCACTTGTCTAGTTTTGTTTTCTTTCTTTTTTTTTTTTTTTTTAAATAAACTCATTATATGCCATTGAGATAAGCCATTGAAGACAAACTGAATGTGGCCAATTCAAAGAGAATTTAAGATTTATCACTGTTTTTTTTTTAAAGAAAAAAAGGAGAGAAGGAGAGGAAGAAAGAGGAAGAAAAAGAGGGAGAGAGAACAGAAATATTGCTTTATTCTAAAAATGGGTATTAATAATGGCCGATCAATATTTTGTGTATTTAAAGTGGAGAATGTATATTTTGTGTATTTAAAGTGGAGAGCTCTATAAATATTTATTAAGTTTACTTGTTCTGGATCTGTGTTCAAGTCCTGGATATCCTTACTGATTTTCTGTCTCGTTGAATCTAAATCTCTTCATGGGTCTTATGTATCTGGGTGTTAGGATCGTTAGCTCTTATTGTTGCATTGATCCTTTTACCACTGTATCTTTGTTGCTTTGAAATCTATTTATCAAATGTGAGAATTGCAACTCCTGCTTTTTGTTTATTTATTTATTTTTGCTCTACATTTGGTTGGTAAATTTTTCTCCAACCCTTTGTTTTGAGTCTTTGTGTATCTTTGGATATAAAATGGGTCTGGATGTAGCATACCTTTAGGTTTTTGCTGTATCTTTTGATTGGGGGATTTAGTCGATTTAAATTTAGGGTTACTGCCATTTGATGTTAACTGGCTATTTTATCTATTCGTTGATGTAAATTCTTTATGTTGATGCTCTTTACTTTTTGGTATATTTTTAGAAAGGCTAATACTGGTTTTTCCTTTCTATGTGTAATGCTTCTTTCAGAAGTTCTTGTAAAGCAGGCCTGGTGGTAATAAAATCTCTGAGTACTTGCTTGTTCATAAAAGATTTTATTTTTCCTTCAGTTGTGAAGCTTAGTTTGGCAGGATATGAAATTCTGGTCTGAAAGTTCTGTTCTTTAAGGATGTTGAATATTGGCCCCCACTCTCTTCTGGCTTGTAGGGTTTCTACTGAAAGATCTGCTGTAAGTCTAATAGGCTTCCCTTTGTGGGTAACCTGACCTTTCTTTCTAGCTGCCCTTAGTATATTCTCCTTCATTTCAACCCTGGTGAATCTAACGATTATGTGCCTTGGGGTTGCTCTTCTTGAGGAATATCTTTGTGGTGTTCTCTGTATTACCTGGGGTTGAATAGTGTCTTGCCTTGCTAGATTGGGAAAAGTTTCCTGGATAATATCCTGAAGAGTAGTTTTTAGGTTGGATTTATTCTCTCCATCACATTCAGGTACACCTATCAATCGTAGATTAGGTCTTTTCACATAGTCCCATATTTCTTGGAGACTTTGCTCATTCCTTTTTATCCTTTTTTCTCTATTCTTGTCTTCTCGTTTTATTTCATTAAGTTGGTCTTCAACCTCTGATATCCTTTATTCTGCTTGATCAATTCGGCTATTCAAACTTGTGCATATTTCACTAAGTTCTCGTGTTGTATTTTTCAACTCCGTTAGTTCATTTATATTCCTCTCTATATTGTCTATTCTTTTTAGCATTTCATCAAACCTTTTTTCAAAGTTCTTAGTTTCTTTATGTTGGGTTAGAACAAGTTATTTTAACTCCCAGAATTTTCTTATCATCCACCTTCTGAAGCCTACTTCAGATAATGGAACACAGTCCTTTTCCATCAGGGCTTGTTCCGTTGCTGAGGAGGAACTACAATCCCCTGTAGAGGGAGAGGGATTCTGATTTTGGGTATTCTCGGCCTTTTTAGGATGGTTTCTTCCCTTTATTATGAATTTATCCATCTGTCGTCTTTACAATTACCGCCTTTCTAGTTAGGTTTCTGAGTGGACGTCCAATTTATTGATTCCCAGTGCTGGGATCCGAGCAACCCACTGCGCTGGCCAAAATAGCAGCGATAAGACTGATGGTGCTCTTCTGCCCGGGAGTCTCTGGTCTGGCTTCCTTCTTGAGTCCCTAACAAGTGGCTCTGCCCTCCCAGAGCTCCAAACACCGGTCAGTAGGGGAACTAGTCCTGTTTACTCTGCATGAAAAGCTGCCGTGCTGAGGCACCGGCAAAACCGCTGCGCTGGCCACAAGAGTTGCGCTGGCGACCCGTGGGGCTCCTCCACTGAAAATCTTCTGATCCGTGAGTGACGAAAATTCGTCTGAAAGTGTGGCATCCTCTTGTTCTCTGCGCTTTCACTGGGAGCTACAATCCCAAGCTGTTAGCGATCAGCCATCTTGGATCTCTCTCTAGTTTTGTTTTCATTGTGATTGCCATTGAGTTCTTAGCCATAAATTCTTTGCTAAAGCCTATGTCCAGAATGGTATTTCCTAGCTTTTCTTCTAGGACTTTTATAGTTTGACCTCTTATATTTAAATCTCTGATCCATCTTGAGTTAATTTTTGTATATAGCAGAAGGTAGGGATCCAGTTTCATTCTTCTATGACTAGCCAGTCATCCCAGCTCCATTCATTGAATGGGGGGGTCCTTTCCCCACTGCTTGTTCTTGTCGAATTTGTCAAAATCAAATAGTTATAGGTATACAGCTATAACAGTCTCTGTTTTTGTACCAGTACCATGCTGGTTTGTTTCCTTATAGTCTAAAGTCAGGTAATGTAATGCCTCCAGCTTTGTTCTTTTTTCTTAGGGTTGTTTCAACTGTTCAGGTTCTTCTTCGGATCCCATATGAATTTTTAAATATTTATTTCTAATTCTGTGAAGAGTGATATTTGTAGTTTGATAGGAATGACCATTGACTGTAGATTGTTTTGAGCAGTATGGACTTCTTTGTTTCTTTTTTTTTTTTTTTGAGACAGCCTCATTCTGTTGCCCTCTTTTTTGAGACAGTCTCATTCTGTTGCCCAGACTGGAATACAGTGGCACAATCTCAGCTCACTGCAACCTCTGCCTCCGAGTTCAAGGGATTCTCATGCTCAGCCTCCCGAGTAGCTAGGATTACAGGCGTACGCAATCTCAGCTCACTGCAACCTCTGCCTCCAAGTTCAAGGGATTCTCATGCTCAGCCTCCCGAGTAGCTAGGATTACAGGTGTTTGCCACCATGCCCAGCTGATTTTTGTATTTGTGGTAGAGATGAGGTTTCACCATGTTGGCCAGGCTGGTCTAACTCCTGGCCTCAAGTGATCTGTCCACCTCAGTCGCTCAAAGTGCTGGGTATAAGCCATCATGACTGCTCCAGTTTTTGTAGAGATCGTTCACCTTTTTGGTTAGATGTATTCCTAGGTGGTTTTTTGTTGTTGTTGTTGTTGTTGTTGTTGTTTGATTTGGCTTTCAGTTTGAATATTATTGATGTAGGTAAATACTACTGATTGTTTACATCGATTTTGAGTCCTGAAACTTTATTGAGGTTGCTTATCTGTCCTGGGAGCCTTTTTGTGGAGTCTTTAATGTTTTCTAGGTATAGAATCATTGTCAGCAAAGAGAGATAATTTGATTTATTTTCCTATTTGAATGCCTTTTCTTTCTTTCTCTTGCCTGATTGCTCTGGCTAGAACTTCCAGTACTGTGTTGAATAGGAGTGGTGAGAGGGGCATCCTTGTCTTGTTCCATTCCTTAAGGGAAATGCTTCCAGTTTTTGTCCCTTCAGAATGATGTTGGCTGTGAGTTTGTCATAGATTACTCTTATTGTTTTGAGGTATGTTTCTTCGATTCATAGTTTGTTGAGGGTTTTTATCATGAAGGGACATTGGATTTTATCAAAAGCATTTTCTTTGCCTATTGAGATAACCATATGTTTTTTGTTTTTAGTTCTGTTTATGTGGTAAATCACATTTATTGGTTTCTGTATAAATGTCTTTGGAAAAATAATTTGAGCAATCAAACTGTTTGACAGAAGTGTTTATAGTTATTTTTAAATTATTTTTTATTGTAAGATATGACTGAATTTACTATAATTATATATATATATTTAGGTTTCTGCTGTTGAAAGTAATGGCAAAACCGAAATTACTTTTGGACCAACCTAATAATGTCAGCTGAATGCAGTGGCTCACTCCAGTAATCCCAGCACTTTGGGAGGCTGAGATGGGTGGATCGCTTGAGATCAGGAGTTTGAGACCAGCCTGACTGACATAGCAAAACCCCATCTCTACCAAAAAAACAAAATCTATGTTAACATTACTAATCTGTATATAATGTAATAATTGACATTAAGTACCTTCATATTATTGTTACCAGTACCATTATTCATCTCCAGAATTTTTATTATCTCAAGCTGAAACTGTGTATAGCTCTATTATTTTTCATGATAATGGAGAAATTTTGATAAAGAATTATTTTAAATAGCATACAGGGAAGCATTCTGGATCTGAGGACTTGGATCTATGTCCTGACTGCCATTTACTTATCTGTATTATCTGATAGAATATCATTATCATTATTTTTCTATCTGTTGTTTAAAGGCTCACAATAAGTTTGCACTAAATAATGTACAATATTGATTTTGTGATTGATAAGGATCCAAAAAGGTTATAGAGTTTTCTGAATAGTTGATGGGTGTTTAAAAATAATTCCATGTGAAGTTAAATATATAATAAAGTTTACACTGGAAATTAACCATTAGCAAATTTTTGGAAGTAGTTTTAAAGGTACTGTCTGGATTGCATAAATTATTTTGAAATGTTTTTATTCAGTGTGATTTCAGTAAACTTGTTTATCTTTTCAGGTCTCTACAGCAGAACAATGTCGTTCTTCCCCCAAAAGTATGATTTGCTGCAATAAAAAATCCCTGTATCTTCCACAAGAAATGTCAGCTGTCTATATAGAATTCACAGAATATTACTATCCAGATGGAAAGGATTTTCCAAGTAAGAGCGTTTTCTATTATTATTTGTCCATTATTTGGGAAGGTGTTTTGTCTTGTTAATATTTTTGAGTTTTATAGATATGAAAAAAGAAATAAAACTATATTGTTCCTTATTTTATTATATTATTACTTTTTTAAGAAAAAGCATCTCACTATGTTGCCCAGGCTTGTCTCAAACTCCTGGGCTCAAGCAATACTCCTGCTTGGCCTCCCAAAGTGCCACTGTGCCTGGCCCCTATTGTTCTTCATTCTTATTGTGTATAGTACATAACTCTAGTCTAACAGTTTTACATGTTGTTATTATTTGTTCATGTATCCTTTTCCCTCCCTAGCTTGTAGAATCCTTGATGGCAGGAATCATGAGGGTTTTTGTTTTTGTTTTTGTTTTTTTTTAGATAGAGCCTTACTCTACCCAGTTCAGTGGTGTGATCTCGACTCACTGTAGTCTCAGCCTCCCGGGTTGAAGAGATTCTCGTGCCTCAGCCTTCTGAGTAGTTGGGATTACAGGCATGCACCACCACACCCAGCTAATTTTTCTGTATTTTTAGGAGAGACAGGGTTTCACCATGTTGGCCAGGCTAGTTTTGAACTCCTGACCTCAAGTGATCTGCCCACCTTGGACTCCCAAAGTGCTGGCATTATAGGCATGAGCCACCCCATCCAGCCCATCTGGTATTTGTGATTCATTTTATCCCAGATATTCAGTTAACTTTGTGCTTAATAGCTGTTTGTTAAAGAATCAGTGAAAGTTAGGTTATTTGTAGAATGAAGTTATTTGTTTCTCCATAGTAAAATTCCATTTATATTTCAGCTATATAACTCCATTTATATATTATTGAAGAAGTAATAGTTGAAGTTGTCCTTTTAGCTGTAGAGAATGTTTTTTGACTGTTTAAAATGCCCAAACATATACTTTGGGCATCTTTTGGCATTTGCTATTTTCAGAAACATTGAATTACATGAATTTTTATTTATAGAAGATTATTTGGCTTTCTAATACTAAAATGATTATACATTTGTATTCTTTGAATATTAAAACTCTTGGGTTTCCTAACATTAAAATGATTGTACATTGTATACTTTGAATATTGAAACTCTGTGCTATTGTCTCAGTTCCTCTAGGAATTCTTTTTTTTTTTCTCGGTGACAGAGTCTTGCTCTGTCACCCAGGCTGGAGTGCAGTGGCATGATCTTGGCTCACTGGAACCTCTGCCACCTGGGCCCAAGTGATTCTTGTGCCTCAGACTTCCAAGTAGCTGGGGCTACAGGTGCATGCCAACACTCCCAGCTAATTTTTGTATTTTTGGTAGAGATGGGGTTTCGCCATCTGGCCAGGCTGGTATCCAACTCCTGGCCTCAAGTGATCTGCCCATCTCAGAATTCTTAAATTAAATGTTGCCCTCTTTTATGTGATACTTTTTTCATTGGGTGAAAAATCACAGTTGAAAGTATTTAGATAAAATAGGTTATGTTATCAGAGGTAACAAGTTGTATGCCCTTTCTTTAAAAGTAGAACTCCAAAATACTTAGACCTACTTTGCCCATTTGTTTAACACTGATTTATTTATATATATTGTTTTTTTTCTGATACAGAGTTTTGCTCTGTTGCCCATGCTGGAATGCAGTGGCGCGATCTCAGTTCACTGCAACCTCCATCTCCCAGGTTCAAGCGATTCTCCTGCCTCAGCCTCCTGAGTAGCTAGGACTACAGGTGTGCACTACCACACCAGCTGATTTTTGGATTTTTTTTTTTTTTAGTAGAGGTGGGGTTTCTACATGGTGGCCAAGGTGATCTTGAGCTCCAGGACTCAAGTGATCTGCCCTACTTGGCCTCCCAAAGTGCTGGAATTATAGGCATAAGCCACTGTGCCCACCCTATTAATACATGTTTTTAGTTTCGCAAGGAACTTCTGATGCTCATACCATAGTTTTGCCTTTGTTGCTAGATTAAAAGATGGCATCCTGGGGATTACAAAGTTGTCCATCTATTTTATTGCTTTATTTCTAATTTGTGTTAAACTTCTGGCATCAGCTGGGTGCTATGGCTCATGCCTGTAATCCCAGCACTTTGGGAGGTTGAGGCTGGCGGATTGTCCAAGGTCGGGAGTTCGAGACCAGCAATGAAACCTCATCTCTATGAAAAATACAAAGTTAGCCAGGCGTGGTGGCACATGCCTGTAGTCCCAACTACTCAGGAGACTGAGGCAGAAGAATTGCTTGAACCTGGGAAGCAGAGGTTGCTGTGAGCCGAAATCATGCCATTGCACATCAGCCTGGGCAACAAGAGCAAAACGTCATCTCAAAACAGAAAACAAAACAAAACTTCTGGCATCTCATCCTATCTTCATGTTTTCAACAGTCTTTTGTGTTTTTTGTTTTGTTTTGTTTATCTGTGTGTATTTCTCATTTGTTTCTTTCAGCTGCCTTTCTAAGCAGATGAGAAAACTCAGATAGATGAAGACATTTGCTCAGCATCTTATAGGGAGTAAAAAGGCACAGTTGAAACTCAAGCATTGTCTTGTAAATCTTAATTCATTGTTTTTTTCCTCATTGTATTACACTACTCCTCTTTGCCCCTATGTTCACCATAACCATTGTCTGTTATTGCATAATCATAGTATTCCAGCCATGCCCCCATAAATGTTTTTTAAATGAGATATATAATTGGACAAGTAATATTTAAAAATTTTATCTTTAATTTTTATGTTAATTTTTTTTAACTTTCCTTAGGTTATTCAGGAACAGATAGTGTTTTGTTGCATGAGTAAGTTCTTTCGTGGTGATTTGTCAGATTCTAATACACCCATCACCTGAGCAGTATACACTGTACCTTATTTGTAGTCTTTTATCCTTCACCCCTTTTCCACCGTTTCCCCTGACTCCTCAAAGTCCATTGTATCATGCTTATGCCTTTACATCCTCATAGCTTAGCTCCCATTTACAAGGGAGAACATACGATGTTTGGTTTTTCATTCCTGAGCTACTTCACTTAGAATATTAGTCTCCAGTCTCATCCAGGTAGCTGCAAATGCCATTAATTCATTCCTTTTTATGGCTGAGTAGTATTCTGTCACACACACACCCCATAGTTTATCCACTCATTGATTGATGGGCATTTGTGTTGCTTCCACATTTTGCCATTGCAAATTGTACTGCTATAAACGTGTATGCGAGTATCTTGAATGACTTCTTTTTCTCTAGGTAGATACCCACTAGTGGGATTGCTGGATCAAATGGTAGTTCCATTTTTTGTGACAAAGTCTCACTCTGTCGCCCAGGCTGGCTTGCAGTGGTATGATCTTGGCTCACTGCAACCTCCGTTTCCTGGGTTCAAGTGATACTCCTGCCTCAGCCTCCTGAGTAGCTGGGACTACAGGTGTGCACCACTGCACCCAGCTAATTTTTGTATTTTTAGAGATGGGGTTTCACCATGTTGGCCAGGCTGGTCTCAAACTCATGACCTTGTGATCTACCCGCCTTGTCTTCCCAAAGTGCTGGCATTACAGGCATGAGCCACTGTATCCAGCCTACTTTTAGTGCTTTAAGGAATCTCCACACTGTTTTCCATAGTGGTTGTACTAGTTTATATTCCCACCAGCAGTGTAGAAGTGTTCTCTGTCACCTCATTTATGCCAACATCTATGTTTTGATTATGGCCATTCTTGTAGTAGTAAAGTGATATGACATTGTGGTTTTGATTTGCATTTCTTTGATCATTAGTGATGTGCATTTTTTCATATGTTTGTTGGCCATTTATATATGTTCTTTTGAGAATTGTCTGTTTATGTCCTTAGCCATCAATCCCTTTTTGGTGGGATTTTTTTTTTTCTTGTTGATTTGAGTTCATTGTAACTTCTGGATATTAGTCCTTTGTCAGATATATATAGATTGTGAAGAGTTTTTTCCACTCTGTGGGTTGTCTGTTTACTCTGCTGACTGTTCCTTTTGCTATGCAAAAGCTTCTTTAGTTTAATTAAGTCCCAGCAATTTATCTTTGTTTTTATTACATTTCCTTTTAGATTCTTGGTCATAAAATCCTTGCATAAGCCAGTGTATAGAAGGGTGTTTCCAATGTTATCTTCTAGATTTTTAGAGTTTCAGGGCTTAGATTCAAGTCCTTAATCCATCTTGAATTGATTTTTATATAAGGTGAGAGTTGAGGATCCAGTTTCATTCTTCTACATATGGCAAGCCAATTATCCCATCATCATTTGTTGAAAAGGGTGTCCTTTCCCCACTTTATGTTTTTGTTTGCTTTGTTGAAGATCAGTTGGTTGTAAGTATTTGGGTTCATTTCTGGATTCTCTATTCTGTTCCATTGATCTGTGTGCCTATTTTTATACTGATACCATGCTGTTCTGGTGATTGTGGCCTTATAGTATAATTTAAAATCAGGTAATACGATGCCTTCAGTTTTGTTCTTTTTGCTTAGTCTTGCTTTGGCTATGCGGGCTCTTTTTTGGTTCTATATGAATTTTAGAATTGTTTTTTCTAGTCCTGTGAAGAATTGTGGTATTTTGATGGGAATTGCATTGAATTTGTAGATTGCTTTTGGCAATATGGTCATTTTCTCAGTATTGATTCTACCCATCAATGAGCATGGGATGTATTTCCATTTGTTTGTGTCGTCTGTGATTTCTTTCAGCAGTGTTTTGTAGTTTTACTTGTAGAGGTCTTTCACCTCCTTGGTTAGGTATATTCCTAAGTATTTCATTTTATTGTTTTATAAATAAATAAGTATTTCATTTTATTGTTTTATAGCTATTGTAAAAGGGGTTAAGTTCTTTGATTCTCAGCTTGGTCACTGTATATAGAAGAGCTACTGATTTGTGTATATTAATTTTGTATCTGGAAACTGCTGAATTCTTTTATCAGTTCTAGGAGCTTTCTGGAGGAGTCTTTAGGATTTTCTAGGTAAACGATGATCATATCATCAGTAAACGGTGACGGTTTGACTTCCTCTTTATCTTTTTGGATGCCCTTTATTATTTCTCTCTTGTCTGATTATTCTGCCTAGGACTTCTAGTACTTTGTTGAAGAGGAGTGGTGAAGAGTTGGCATCCTTGTCTTGTTCCAGTTCTCAGAGGGAAAGCTTTCAACTTTTCCCCATTGAGTATTATGTTGACTTGCTGTAACACATACCACAGACTGGGTGGGTTAAACAACAGAAATTTATTGTCTCACAGTTCCGAGACTAGAGGTCCAAGATGGTCTTCAGCAGGATTGTTTCTTCTGAGACTGCTCTCCTTGTAGATCGCTATCTTCCCCCTTTGGTTTCACATGGTCTTCAGTGTGTGTGTGTGTCTGTGTGTGTGTGTCTATCCTGTTCTGCTCTTATAGGGATATGAGTCATATTGAACTAGGGCCACCCATTTTATCATAATTGTCTCTTTAAAGGCTTTAGCTCCAAATACATTGTGAGCTACTGGGGGATAGGACTTCAGTAAATGAATTTTAGAGGGTTTAATTCAATCCATAGCAATAAGTATAGCGTTGTTAGTCTTGTTTTTAATGCGTTTCTTTTACATACTTAATTTGCACCCTTCTCCTTTCCCTTAGTGATGTCAGAATACTGGAGGTTTCTACAAGCTGATTTTAACTATTATTGACTACATACTAATCTATTTTATAAGTAGACCTCTGATGGAAACTGCATATAGATCTTTCTACTGCTTAGTTTCCTGGGTTCCTTTCTCAGTCCCAGATCTGCTCTCAGGGTTCTTTCTGTGCTCTAGCTCTTGGGCAGCATTTTTGCTCCCTATTCTGCTCTGTGGCTACCATCATCACTCAATCTGTGTGTTGAGATATTTCCTCTTCTTTCCTTCCAGAGTGTGATGCAGTCTCTGCAGCACCCACTTTATTTCTATTCCCAGAGGCAAGCATCTCTACCGCACAATTGCATGTCTCTGATAGACTTGAATTATAATTTTTCTTTGTTTGTATCTGTCTCATGTAATAAACTATGAACTTTCAAGGGAAAGGGACCATGCCCTATTTGTTTTTGTGTTCTTTGTGCTTAGGGTAAGACAGACAATGTAGTTGACATTCAGTGACTCTTAAAGGAAAGTGAATGAATAAATGAATTATATAAGCAAATAAACCCTATTCACGACATTGTTACGTGTTCTCTCTCTACTGATATCTTACACCTTAGATTTATTTTTCTTAAATTTAGTCTAAGTGTTCTAGATATGCATAATTTTAGCTTTGGTAGAAATAAATATGTCTGAATTTTTAGAATAAAGGATCTTCATCAAGGTGCTCTGAAAACAAAATGGCTTTTATGGTAGAAAAATATGTATATTTCAGGAAGTGATGTACCCTCTAATTGTAAATATTAGTTTGTTTTGGGAGAGCTGTGAAAAAGAGTGCATTCCCTTTATTATTCAGGAGATACTTGATATTCTAGATATTCTAGGCCTTGATTAAAGTGGGGAATAAATTTGTGCGTGGTCCCTTCTTTCAAGGAGATTCTGCTAGCATAACACTTTCATAAGAAATTGGTCATTAGACTTAGTTCTGTCATTTTATAGGATTTAGATTAAGATTCAGCTTGTAAAGTCTTTACAGAAATAGGTGATCGAGGACCACTATGATGTGTTACTTCATCAAGAAGATAGTATTTTTAGAAGTTTGCTTCTTGGTGAATACAACCTTAGGAAAGAAATTGAAATAATGCTTCTTGTTTTATGCAGTTAGTTTTAGATTAATTTATATATTCAAATTTTGTGTTTTATAGAATTATATTTTAAAATATTAAAAAATTTTTTCAGTTAGTGAGGCATGGAAAACTTTTTTTGTCTAAATGTGTTTGCTGTCATTCACATATATCACTTTGATTTTATAAGTAACACCTCAAATTTATATTATGAGAGAATAAATCTGACTAAACATGAATTTTTTGTTTTCAGGGAAGATTTAGAACCATCCAATTAAAAATTTAAAAAACAAAAATCTTTTCTCCACAGTTCCATCTCCCAACCTGTATAGCCAGCTGAATGCACTACAGTTTACTGTGGATGAAAGAAGCATTCTATGGTTGAATCAATTTCTGTTGGATTTAAAACAGAGTCTTAATCAGTTCATGGCTGTGTACAAGTTGAATGACAATTCAAAATCTGATGAGCACGTTGATGTTCGAGTTGATGGCTTAATGCTAAAGGTATCATACAAGCAGTAGCAATGATTTAATTCAATTTTGTCTTTTTATTTTATGATTTATTGTGTACATATATGTATGTCACATTCATTTTTCATGTTATGTTTTTGAAAAGATAATTGTCTTCTGGTGGTCATTTAAGTTCTTTTTACGCAGTTTAATAAAAAGACTTGATGGGAAGAGTTAGTGTTTTATGTCTTAATAAGAAAGTAGTATTTTGGGGGAAAGGTCAAGAAGAAGAATTTCTTAGCTAAGTCATGTTCTCTTATCTTCAAGATGTATGGATTTGCCAGTTGGATGACATTAATTTTTCTTCTCTTCTAGTTTGTCATTCCTTCTGAAATGAAATCTGAATGTCATCAAGATCAGCCACGTGCAATTTCTATTCAGAGTTCTGAAATGATTGCCACAAATACAAGGCACTGTCCACACTGTCGACATTCTGACCTAGAAGCTTTGTTTCAAGACTTTAAAGATTGTGATTTTTTTAGTAAAACATATACCAGCTTCCCCAAATCTTGTGACAGTTTTAATCTTTTACATCCAATTTTTCAGAGACATGCTCATGAGCAAGATACGAAAATGCATGAAGTTTATAAAGGAAATATTACTCCCCAATTGAATAAAAACACTCTTAAAACTTCTGCTGCCATGGATGTTTGGGCTGTGTACTTTTCTCAATTTTGGATAGATTATGAAGGGATGAAAAGTGGAAAAGGACGGCCAATAAGTTTTATAGACTCATTCCCTCTTTCCATTTGGATTTGTCAACCAACAAGATATGCAGAGTCACAAAAAGAGCCACAGAGTTGTAATCAAGTATCTCTAAATACATCACAAAGTGAATCTAGTGATCTGGCTGGCCGATTGAAGCGGAAGAAGCTCTTAAAGGAGTATTATAGTACAGAGTCTGAGCCCTTGACAAATGGTGGTCAGAAACCTTTATCAGATACATTTTTCAGATTTTCCTCTTCCTCATCAGAGGCAGATATTCATGTCCTAGTTCATGTTCATAAACATGTCAGTATACAGATTAATCACTACCAGTATCTGCTCCTGCTTTTCCTGCATGAGTCACTTATCCTGCTTTCAGAGAACTTAAGGAAAGATGTAGAAGCTGTGACTGGCAGTCCTGCTAGTCAGACATCCATTTGTATTGGAATTTTACTTAGAAGTGCAGAACTGGCTCTTTTGCTCCATCCAGTGGATCAAGCAAATACTCTTAAGTCTCCTGTTTCTGAAAGTGTGAGCCCAGTGGTTCCTGATTATTTGCCTACAGAAAATGGGGATTTTTTGTCTTCAAAAACAAGTAGGGATGTAAATAGAAGTATTACTGTTAATTATATGTCGGACAACAGATCTATGAGTGTTGACCTTAGCCATGTCTCTTTAAAGGATCCTTTGCTTTTTAAATCAGCTAGTGATACAAATCTGCAAAAAGGCATTTCTTTTATGGACTATTTATCAGATAAACATTTAGGGAAAATAAGTGAAGATGAAAGTAGTGGACTTGTTTACAAAAGTAGCTCAGGAGAAATGGGATCAGAAATAAGTGACAAAAAGGATTCATTTTATACAGATTCAAGTAGTATTTTAAACTACAGAGATGATTCTAATATGCTGTCATTTGATAATGATGGTAATCAAAACATACTTTCAAATAGTTTAACTAGTAAAGGAAATGAAACCATAGAGTCGATCTTTAAAGCTGAAGATTTGCTTCCAGAAACAGCTTCGCTCTCTGAAAACGTAGAAATCAGTAAAGAAGAGACCCCTGCAGTTAGAACACTTAAATCACAGTTATCTTTAAGGTAACAACATTTTATTGGCCTTATAAAAAATTATTTTATGTTGCCGAGTGTGTGTACCTGTGAGTGTATTTTGGTTTTGTTTTTGTTTTATCAATTAAAATACCATTTATTACAGTAAAATGGTATATGTGCATCATAGAAAATTAGAAAATACAAGTAAGGAAAAACTTAAAAATTAAGCCTTCACATTGTCACCATCAGAGATCCCCTAAGTTAACTATATAGTAAATATATTTCTTAACTTTGTTAGGCATGTATTATACATAATATGTGGTTTGATATATTTTTGACCAAAACAAGATTATACTGTTTAGCACCTGCTTTCTTTTTTCTTTTTTTTTAATTGTACTTTAGTTTCTGGGATACATGTACAGATCATGCAGGATTGTTGCATGTGTGTTTTGTTTTGAGGCAGACAACCTCATGACAAAATATGACATTGTTAACATGTGGAAGAGTAGATGTTTCAAAATATGAAAACACTTTGTGGTTATATGTTTAAATATAATTTAGGCTATGGATGCCATATACATAGTTTTAATTTTGTTAGAAGCATCTTTTAAGATAGAATTTTTTTCTTTATATGTAATAACTTTCTAATAATTTTGTTAACAGTGGAAAGCCTAGGGAACGTTACCCACCCAACGTGGCTCCTCTCTGTGTTTCTTATAAGAATATGAAAAGAAGCTCTTCACAAATGTCATTGGATACCATTTCATTAGACAGCATGATATTGGAAGAACAGTTGTTAGAAAGTGATGGAAGTGATAGCCATATGTTTTTGGAAAAAGGTAAAGTGATATGGTTTAATAATTTATATTACGTACATACACCTTAGGAGAAAAGGGATGCTTTTGGTTATATTCAGTAATTGTTAACAATTTCCATGCTTTTTAAAGTTATTGAACATAACAAAATAACTGAATATTTTTACTTATATTCAATAATTGTTATTGAATTGTTAATATTTAGTTATTTTTAGTTAAATTCAGTAATTATTCATTATAGCCCCCAAAAGACTTATTTATATATACCTGGACTAAATAAGAGTACCTAACTTTCTTCTAATGGTTGTTCCACTGTTTCTTTTAACCAGATACTCCTGCCTCTCTATGACTGACATCCAGCAATTATTTGTATCCAGTCATTTAAACCATAAGGCAGCCAACATTAAGGCTACCAGCCTCTATTACAGAGACTCCTATATTTGGAAATTTGATTAGGTGGGCTTAATTTGCATGGTGAATTCTGCTGATTTACAAAATCAGGATTCTTTCACATACGTGATAGTGTATGGTGGAACTACATGATTTCCCCATTTTATTGAGAGACAACCAGTGCTCCAGTAAAGACTGCTAGGAATGACTTAGAAGGTGTTAGTTGCATCGTCATCACTAAAGCATTAGGGAGTTTGTGAACAGGAATTAGAAGTATGGGAAATAGTCAGAAAGTAGTTGCTACAGATGCAAAAACACAGAAGACCAGTGGCAAATGTGAATTACCTTCTTTTTTCATTTTTTCTTTTTTTGGAGAGGGAGCCTCACTCTGTCACCCAGGCTGGGGTGAAGTGTTGTGATCTCAGCTCACTGCAACTTCCGCCTCCTGGATTCAAGCAATTCTCCTGCCTCAGCCTCCTGAGTAGTTGGGATTGCAGGTGTATACCACCATGCCCAGCTAATTTTGTATTTTTATTAGAGATGGGGTTTTGCCATGTTGGCCAGGCTGGTCTTGAACTCCTGACCTCAAATGATCCGTGTGCCTTGGTGTCCTAAAATGCTGGGAGTACAGGCATGAGCCACCACACCTGGCCTCAATTACTTTCTATTTGAAAGGAAATAAGCCTATTGATTTAGTTGAAAAGTTTAAATCATTAGTAATATAATTAATATAGCAAGTATGGAATAAGTAATAATATAACATAACAGGTATTATTAACATAAGTACCATAATAGTAGCTACCATTTATTGCCAGGCACTGTCTGTTTTGTTCTGCTATCACAGAATACCACAGACAGGGTAATTTATAAAGAACAGAAGTTTATTTCTTACAGTTCTGGAGGAAGTCCAAGATCAAACCTCATCAAATTGTAAAGGTTGCATCCTCTGGAGGGCAAGAGAAGCTGACTTAAGCCTCTTTTGTAAGGGTCTTAGTCCCTTCATGTAGGGGCCTGCTCTCATTGGCTGATCACCTGTTAAATGCCCCACCTCTTAGGACTATCACTATGGCAACACATGAATTTTGAAGGGACACATTCAAACCATTGCAGGTGCTTAAATAATTCACTTCTGTTAATTTGAATTACAACCCTATAGTAATAGAAGCTAACATTTATTGAGCATTTACTTTGTGTTGATACCATTCTGTATGCTTTGTATATATATTAATGCATTTAATTCTCACAGCAATTCTATTAGTAGTATACTGTTATCTTCAGAGAGAGGTTAAATAACTAACTCAAAGTAACACAACTAGTTAGTGGTTTAAATTCAGGTGTTCTGGCTCCAGAGCCTACTGTTTACTATGTACCAAATTGCTTCAACCCTATGAGGTATAAGTGCTTATTCTTATCCATCTTTTATAGATAAGGAAACTGAGGCTCTTGAAGTTTGAGTAGTTTTCCTAGAGTCATATTATTGTACACAGAGCTGGGATTGTCTTTCTCGTTTGTTCTTCTTCTTTTTTTTTTTTTTTGAGATGTAGTTTCGTTCTTGTTGCTTAGGCTAGAGTGCAATGGCAGGATATTGGCTCACTTGCAACCTCTACCTGCTGGATTCAAGTAGTTCTGCCTCAGCCTCCCAAGTAACTGGGATTACAGGCACTGGCACCACGCGCAGCTAATTTTTATATTTTTAGTAGAGACGAAGTTTCACCATATTGGCTAGGCTGGTCTCAAATTCCTGGTCTCAGGTGATCCTCCCATCTTGGCCTCCCAAATTCCTGGGATTACAGGTGTGAGCCACCATGCCTGGCCTCTCGTTTGTTATTCTAAGCTAATATTTACTAGAGACTTACTCTAACAATTATTATTTTAACTATCTTACATGTATTTCATCTTCAAATAAATTGAGATAGGAACTGTTACCTTCATTTTAAAGGTGAGACAAACAAAGCCTAGGTAGGTGAGCAGCTTGCCCAAGGTTACACAGCTAGTGAGTGGTAGAGTTTAGCATTTGAACCCAGTTAGTCAGACTTCAAAGTCTGAGCTCTTCTATTTGACACAAACACGTCTTCTTAAAACAAAGTACACCCTTTATACAAGTCAGAGAAAAATCTCTCTACTAGATCTCAGTTTACTTTATCTTGGTGGGAGACATTAGTCAGTTTACCTTATATGATAGATGATATTTAATAGCAACAATAGCAAACATTTGTTGAACCACCCCAGTCATGCTGCCAAGTGCTATAAAATATATTAATTTAATCATTAAGACCATTATATGAGGTAGTTATTATTGATCACTTTTCTATAGATTCAGAAGCTAAAGCTTAGAGAAATAAGGTATTTTGTCCAATAGTTGTAGCCAGGAAGCAGTAAGAGGCACATTTGTCAGCTAACCTGACTGAAGAGCCCAAGTTTCTAACCAGTGAGCTATTCTAGCTCCCCAGACTTGGGGAATGTGTATTGTACATAAACAAAAATTCTCAATCTAACTCTGTTACAATTCATAGCAATATTCTTTCTAGCATATCACGTGAATGTAGACGAGGTACTGATATGAGTCATGAAAATCTATTCTAGATTTGCAGATAGCTCTAGTTCCCCTGGGCCTCCTTTCTGGCTTAAAATCCTACCTTAACAGAGGATTTTTGTCCTATGATCAAAATATACTTCAAAAACGATGTTCTTGTGGCAGATAACCCTACCTAATCTCAAATCATCAGTGATTTTATTATTTCTAATAATTAAATAATAAGTAAAAGTGACTACCAGTCAATGTGGAAAATACAACTACAATTTAGAAAGTAAAATCACCGAAAAGTCTCACATTCACATGATGTCAACTGTTAATTTACACATTTATATATTTACCCATATATTTGCTGTTATATTACATGTTTGGTTTGTAGCCTGCTTTTTATCTTCTGTAAGTATTCTCTAATATTATTTAAACTCCTTTTAAAATATTTTTAAGCTTATATAAAACTGTTTTAAGAATGTACCATGGCCTTTTAAACATTTCCCTGATACTGGATGTTTAGATTGTTTATAATTTATCAGTTATAAAAGTGCTATAATTATATTATTGTTCACAAATTTTTGTCTGAATTTTTGATGACTATCTTTGAATAGATTCCAGCAATAGACTGTTTTTAGGATCTTAAAAAGTGTGGACTTTGTAACATTTTAATGACATACATTCCTTGTTCTTTTGAACAGTTACTTACTCTTTTTATGTCACAGTCATTAATTTTTGTAGGAAGGAGACTCTGGCATTTTGTTATTTTATAAGAAATATATGAATATTCTCTCATTTTAAAAGGAGAATAGGGTGATATTAAGGTGACACCTTCAATTTTTACTCTAGGCATTTCCATATTATCTGGTTTATCTGCTTTTACCATCCACTTTCGGTATATATACTTCCCGGCCTTTATCTACATATTTGTATATATGTGTGTGGGTGTGTCAGATATATACACGGGTATATGTATACAAAAGGATATGTATGTGTATATGTGCATGTATACATATTTGTGAATATATGTACATATTTATGAACACACATAGACATATGCTGGACCATCAGCCTACCTCTGGTCCTTAAGTAGTCTTTCCACATCTCTTCGTGTCCATTTGCGGTTCATTTTTTATTCTATAGCCAAAATACTCTTTTTTTTTTTTTGAGACTGAGTCTCACTCTGTCACTCAAGTTGGACTGCAGTAATGCGATCTCAGCTCACTACAACCTCCGCCTGCTGGATTCAAGCAATTCTCCTGCCTCCTCAGCTCCCCAAATAGCTGGGATTACAGGTGTATGCCACCACATCTGGCTAATTTTTGTATTTTTAGTAGAGATGGGGTTTCACCATATTGACCAGGCTGGTCTCAAACTTCTGACCTCAGGTGATCCACCCACCTTGGCCTCCCAAAGTGTTGGGATTACAGCTATGCACCACCATGCTCTGCCAGGCAAAATAGTCTTTTAAAAAACACACGTTTCATCATAACATTTACCACTGTATTGCTGATAACTTATAATTGCTATAAGGCTATTAAGTTAAAAATTCTTAACATTACTGACAATGCTCTGTGTGATGTGGCTCCAGCTTACTTCTTCTGATGTTTTCCCATGTGCTCATTATACTTCAGATGGATCATAGTTTACTTCAGTCTTTCTGTCACTTTCTTTACTGTGATATAAGCTTTTCCATTTTAGTTTGTTGTACCTGTTCCTGGAATGCTCCTTTTCTTTCTGTTTATTTTATTATTTTTGATTTTAATTAGAGTAGTTAAGGACAACTCTTTTGGCTTTTTTTCCCCACCCATTATTTTATCCAGTCAGTGTTTTTCAGTGTCTTTTTGCTCTCCTTACAATTGTTCTTTTCCACATAAATTTAAAAAAAAAAATTTGTTTTAAAATTTTTAAAAGGGGCCAGGTGCAATGGCTCACGCCTGTAACCCAGCACCTTGGCAGGCCAAGACAGGCAGATCACTTGAGGTCAGGAGTTTGAGACCAGCCTGCCAACTTGGTGAAACCCCATTTCTACTAAAAATAGAAAAATTAGCCAAGCATGGTGGTGCATGCCTGTAATACCAGATACTTGGGAGGCTGAGGCAGGTGGAGGTTGCAGTGAGCTGGGATCATGTCATTGTACTCTAGTCTGGGCGACGGAGTGCGAGACTCCGTCTCAAAAAAAAATTTTTTTTTTTTAAGGCAAATTTTTTTTTTTTTTCTTAGATGGGGTCTCACATTGTCACGCAAGCTAGACTGCAGTCTCTACCTCCCAGGCTCAAGTGATCCCTCTGCCTTGGCCTCCCGAGGAACAGGGGAGTGCCACTATGTCTGGCTAATTTTTGTATTTTTTGGTAGAGATGGGGCTTTGCTTTGTTGCCCTGGCTGGTCTTGAACTCCTGGGCTCAAGTGATCCTCTCGTCAAAGTGCTGGGATCACAGGCATGAGCCACCACACCCAGCCTTTGTTCACATGTTAGTGGAAATATTATTTTATCAGAGATGTCTTCTTAACCCCAACAGTGTTAGGAATCCCCTATGAAATGCTTTTATTAGCTCCTCATACTACAACTGTATTTACAGGTATCTTTTCTGGGCCATTTATTTAATAATTTATTGAGCACCTAACACATTGCCAAGCACTAGTTTAGAAGATGATTATGAAGTAGTAAATATAATAATAAATTAAGATCTATGTTTTATAGGTCTTTAGGTTTCCTTACCTGATTTTTCTATTAATTCATTTTCATGGCATTTTTAAAAAGTATTGATCTGTGATGGCTACAAAATGTTTTAAAAATTGTTTTTTTACCACAGATAGTTTGAGAAATATTAAATTATAGCACATTCGTTGTTTGCTAACTAATCAAAATCTAATTTTTATTGGTCCATTTTTTTTAAAGGAGGCAGTGCAGTGCTTAAGAGTTGAAAGGATAGTCCATTTTTGTTAAATAAGCATGCAATGTTAGATCATGTGCAAAACTGACTTTAATTTATTAATTTACTTTTGTATTATTTTAGGAAATAAAAAGAACTCAACTACAAATTACCAGAGCACAGCAGAAAGTGTGAATGCCAGTGCAAACTTACAGAATTATGGTGAAACTTCTCCAGATGCCATCAGTACAAATTCAGAGGGTGCTCAAGAAAATCATGATGACCTGGTAGTAATCATTTGAGAGAGATTCTATGAAGAAAAATGCCACAAACTTTATTTCATATTTTATATGTACATATTTTGAGACACTCATATAAAATGAATTCCTAGATGGTGGGCAATTCATTTTGCTCCTTTTATTCTTGAAAACGCTTCCCTCCTAATCAATAGTTTTTCCTTTGATTTTACTTTTCTAAATTTATTTTATTCATTTTGAGGAGTGGAGGCTCTTTCTTTTTTCTGTCTTGCATTTTATGTTTTTTATTTTTATTTTTTTTAGAGACAGGATCTCACTGTGTTGCCCAGGCTGGAGTGCAGAGCTGTGTCCATAGCTCACTGCAATCCTGAACTCCTGGGCTTAAGTGACCTTCCTGCCTCAGCCTCCCAAGTAGCTGGGACTATAGGTACATACCACCACACCTGGCTGTTTTAAATTTTTTTGCAGATATGAGGGGATCTCACTGTGTTGCCCAAGCTAGTGGTTTCTCTTAAGCCCTCCTGATGCAGTGAAATATTCTTATGGAAGACTTCAAAAAGATATTATGTCTAACTTTTAATGAAAATCATTTTGCAATCTTTGTGACCTAATTTTTTTTTTAAATAAAATGAAAGAAAAGGTTTTCATTATAATGTAACAACCATGTTCTGTAAGTCAAAGTATATTTTTGGTCTGGAAGGTCACAATTATATTTTTAGAGGGTAATGGTAGTTTTCCTATATTATTTCTTAAATTTTGTTTTGAACTGCTTGGCATACTAATATCATTTATGCAATCATTAATAGATGTCCGTTGTGGTGTTTAAAATTACTGGTGTTAATGGGGAAATTGACATCCGAGGGGAAGATACAGAAATTTGTCTTCAAGTGAACCAGGTGACACCAGACCAGTTAGGCAATATCAGTCTGCGGCATTACCTTTGTAATCGTCCAGTTGGTAAGATTTTTTTTTAAATTACTTTTCATATACAGTGGTTTAATATGTTTTAACTTGTATCTTTTACATATGTCTCATCAGGAGTCCTATCTTGACTATAATTGAATTCAAGAAAATTACATTTATTTATAATAATAATAATTACTATTTGTAGTTTGTGGTTGTTTTTTCTGTAGTATGAGCTTCAATAGGAAGACATGGCATCATAGTTCCATGGAATAAGCGGTAGTAGGGAGGAATTTGTGATTTTGACTAAGAAAGTTTTTGTTTTGTTTTATTTTGTCTCCAAAAAAACTCGTTTTGTTTGAAATTATTTCTGGCTTTACTCTGTGGAATGAGAATGTGTGTGTTTGTAGATCTAGATAGATAAAAAGGCAAAATAAAATCACATCTAGTTTATTTGTAGGCAAGCTCTCTTGTTCAGCAAGTTCACTCTTGTTGTTCTTGACATGGGAAAGAACACTAACCATCACCAATTTGTGACTGTTTCTTTTACTTTCTATTTAAAAAAATAAAATGTGAAGTTCGAAATACTTAAATAATTATTTGGAGTTACATTTGAACTCTGTATTATTTTCTGGAATGTTAATAAGTAGTAATAACAGTACGTATAATTCTGTACCTGGAATGGAAGTTTTAAGAGCAGCTCTCCACCTGGAATTGTGAATGGAGACCTGTCCTTGGTATAAATAAATACACACATCTTTAATTTCTTGCAACTCTCCCCCTTTCACAAATATGCATATATTTGACCTGTTTAAGACTAGTCACACCCATGCTGAAGAAAAATAAAATATCTTTTCATTATGAATTTTTAAAAATCTGTCATGAATTGATACAGCAGTCTTATTATGGGGACCCATGGGTTAAATAACTTTCATACCTCAGGAACTGAAACAGCTTTGCCTTTCCAGAATGAGTTTGTTTTTATCTTATGCATTATATGAGTTGTGAAGCTGATCATATGTTTGTCTTTTTGCTAGGGAGCTCATTTTTGGTTCACCTTTTGGTATAGGAATTTAAATAATGCATTTTGGGTTATTAACCTTACCAGCTACCATTCCCTTTTCCCTTCCATCCTTTTTTCCTTGTCTCCTCATTTTTTATCAGATTATACCATGTGCATATTACCTCTTACACATTTTGGAACCAAGTAACATAAAATAAATAAGCAAATAGTTACCATGAGTTCAGAAGTAATTTACTTCAGTGATTTCACTAGGAACTTGTATTTTTTTAAGTTAGATATCCTACTGGAGCTTCATTGGTATTTTAAAATTTGTTTTTAAACTGTGTGTTTATACCTGTCTACGCTATCTATAAATTTTTTGGGGGGACAGGGTCCAGGCATAAGTAAATGTAGTTTTACATACCCACACATATACACACACTCTTCCCATATTATAATTTCCATTTTTGGTTTGCCTTCTAATAGAAACAATTTAATGAGGTCTTCTCTGTTTATTTTTCTGTTATTTAAGGCCCCATTTTATGAGGAAACTGCAAAACCTCAGACTTTTGTTGCTTCTTGAGAAATGGTGTAAGAGTCACTTTAAATATCTAACTTATTTCTGCATCACAGCCACCATTTGAATGTATAGTTAGGTATACAATCAAACACACACTAAGTATCTGAGGTATGTATCACACCAGAGTTATGTATCATGACATGTTTTTCTTGTTATCAAAAAAAACCAGAAAATACAGAAAAATCAACATTACTGTAGGAGAAAGTTGCCTTAAAGTATTGGAATTAGTGGGTGTATATATATTGTATATGTACTATAGAATATCATTTAAACTAGGGGTAAATAGTAAAACTAGTATTATTTTAATGTACTACGACACATAATAGTAATATTATTGAACAGTGCTACAAATATTTTTATATGTTCATCTTCCTTAGGTTCTGATCAGAAAGCTGTAATTCATTCCAAATCCTCTCCTGAGATTTCTCTGAGGTTTGAAAGTGGGCCTGGTGCTGTAATACACTCTTTACTTGCAGAAAAAAATGGATTTCTGCAGTGCCACATAGAAAACTTCAGCACTGAGTTTCTTACATCTTCCCTTTTGAATATTCAACATTTTTTGGAAGATGAAACTGTTGCAACAGTAATGCCAATGAAGATACAAGTTTCTAACACAAAAATAAATTTAAAAGTATGTTAATAAATAATTTTATATTGTCATGTTCCTTTTGCCTACCTGGACTTTCACTCATGTTTAAGAATGTACCTTCTCTATAATTTATGTTCTATCAGCATTTATTAAAACGATTTTCCTTGTCTTTTTTGGTAAATGACATAGAGATCTTCTTTAGAAATTAGGAAATGTCAAAATATAACAGGCAGTTTTCTCACTGTATCAGCTGAAACATATAAAGATACATGTTTTATCTTTAACTCATTAAAAATATGACTGGCTAGAGTAACATGGCAATGTTCTTTTTCTTTCCTGTAGGATGACAGTCCCCGGAGTAGTACAGTATCCCTTGAACCAACTCCTGTAACTGTGCATATTGATCATCTTGTGGTAGAGAGAAATGATGATGGCTCTTTTCATATTAGAGGTATATATGAGAAACTGTTTATTTATTTGTTTTTTTGTTTGTTTGCTTGTTTGTTTGACAGAGTTTTGGCTCTTGTCACCCAGGCTGGAGTGCAATGGGGTGCAATCTCGGCTCACTGCAACCTCTGTATCCCTGGTTCAAGAGATTCTCTTGCCTCAGCCTCCCGAGTAGCTGGGATTCAGGTGCCCATCACCACACCCGGCTAATTTTTGTTTTTAGTAGAGACAGGGTTTCACCATGTTGGCCAGGCTGGTCTCAAACTCCTGAGATCAGCTGATCCACCTGCCTTGGCCTCCCAAAGTGCTGGGATTACAGGGGTGAGCCATCATACCCAGCCAATGAAAAATCATTTAAATGAACATCTCATATTTTGAAGTTAAATTATTTACATACTGATTGTTTGTTTTCACTCATTTATTTTATATGTATGTACATATGCAGTAGTGGAAGATTGAGGGACACCTTCAGTACATCAGTACATTGTAATAAAATATTATCTATATATGTACGGGCCTCTACCCTGGGAAAAAACCTCATATATGGTTGGCTTAGTACCTGTTGTACACACATGTTTTGAATGTTGTAGAAAGTGAGAGAGGCCTTCAAGGTCTTACACGTCTCTTGATCTTACTCATGTCTCTCAGTTGATGTCTTTCTTAGCTTTATTTCCTACTTATACTCCTTATAATGGAACTTACCTTGCACTTCTCCATCTCTGTGTTCTTACTTGCCTTGTTATTTCTCTTTGGAATTGCTCATCGCCATGTGGATTTCATTCATCCTCTCAGTGTTGTCTCAAGTTTCTTCTTTATACTCTGATGTATAGCGATACTTTCTTTATACTCTGACGTGAGTTCTTCCACTTCTTTTGGACTTTTCTGTGCATTAGTTACTTATAGTGTATTGTCTATATACTTAGTTTACATTCAGTGTTTGTATCTCCACTCTAGCTAGTAACGTCTGTGTCTTACAAGGTGGTATGGGGTAGTGGAAAGAGTGTGAGTCAGTAGACATAGATGTTTTGGGCTTCACTATTGTAACTAATTGAAGGACTGATAAATGCATCTCTTTCTTCTCCTATCAAAAACCTTATTAAATGACAGAAAACATACACTGAAGAATAAAGTCATTAACAGTGCTACAAAAGAAAGGAGAGGACAATTGCAGATGTGGGAATAGTTTGTGGGAGACTCTTATCTCAAAGAGTCTTTTCCTCTGTTGTTTGGGAATAACTGGAGACAGACATAGGAGAAAGGCCAACAGAGATCAAAATTGTAGCTTCGTTACTGATAAAAGCTCAGGTGGAGAGAATAGCTTAGGTATCTGAGAAGACGGGCTGGCTGCATAGCTCTCTTTCCCAAATATGTTAGCTCCCAGAAATTCAGGTCTGTCTTCTAAAAAGAAAAAGAAAAGAATGCACCCTCTCGGCAGGGATACAGTGTATACCAAAGCAAGAGACTGAACCACATATATATAGTTCTTTAAAAAAAAAGTAATCAATCAGATAAGTCATACCTTCTTCCCGCGGAAGCAGTGAGAAACAGGACCAAGAGAATTCAAGAGTAAAACACGATTGAAGTTCCTCCTCAAAAATAGGAGGAATCTCCCAACAAGATACTGAGGTTAGAATGAGCCCTGATGCAATAGCATGAATAATATGGGCATTGCTTTTTTGGGATCCTCTCATGTGCCCCTGCCCAGTAGTAGATTCAGTAGATTTTGCATATAAAGTAAAATATTGAGGGTAGTTTCTACAGCCGCTAAGCCCCCAGGAAGGGAATGATTCCCTATCCAGTTAACAGACTTGGCATATCTCACCCAGTAGAGCAGCCTTTCCTTTCCCACCATCACTAGAGGTTGGCTATGGCAAATGGAAACAGTATTTATAGGCAAGAAAATGGGATAAACATAAACAAGAAAATAGGAAAATACAAGACATGCAGTAATTCTCAAACCTTGAAAATAATAGTACTAATCAACTTTTATAATTATAAGCTAGAAATACTCTCTAGCTGATTGAGTAGAAAAGGAGCTTGGTAAAAAATAATTGGAATGAATTGAATTCAGAGTTGAGAGATAAACTCTTAACATTAATTGATCTTTGACAAGGCTGGCAAAACAATTCAATGGGGAAAAGAACAGCCTTTCCACAAGTGGTGATGGAATCACCAGCTATCCACATGAAGAAGGTTGAACTTCTTTCTTATACAGGCATACTTTAGATATTCTGCAGATCGGGTTCCAGACCGGCACAATAAAGTGAGTATCATACATAATAAAGCAAGTCATACAAAGTTTTCAGTTTTCAGTTTACCAGTGCATATGAAAGTCATATTTACACTATTATTATGACTAAAAAATGTACATAGCTTAATTTAAAAATTTTTGATTGCTGGTCAGGCACAGTGGCTCACGCCTGTAATCCAGCACTTTGGGAGGTGGGTGGATCACCTAAGGTCGGGAGTTCAAGACCAGCCTGGCCAACATGGCAAAACCTTTGTCTACAAAAAATACAAAAATTAGCTGGGTGTAGTGGTATACATCTGTAATCTCAGCTACTTGGAAGGCTGAGGCAGGAGAATTGCTAGAACCCAGCAGGTGGAGGTTGGAGTGAGCCGAGATTGCACGACTGCATTTCAGCCAGGACAACAGAGCATCTCAAAAAAAAAAAAAACAAAAACCCTTAATTGCTAAAAACTGCTGATGATCATCCGAACCTTCAGTGAGTCATAATCTTTTTGCTTGTGGAGGGTCTTGATGGTTGCTGACTGATGACAGTCATGGTTGTTGAAGGTTGGGGTAGCCGTGGCAATTTCTTAAACCAACAGTGTTCAATTTATCTGTTTTCTCTTGTTGCCTGTGCCTTGGCAGTCCTATATAGGAATCCATGGCCAAATCTGAGATCATAATATTTTCTCGTGTTTTATTTGAAGAATTTTGTAGAATTAGCAATTCAATATAGCTCTTTAATGCAAATATATCAATTTTTATTTTTGATGTGTGGGTAAGGATTAAAAACACATGAATTTATTTCTGGATTCTCAATTCTGTTCCACTTGTCTGTCTTTAATACTACCACACTGTCTTGATTACCAGCTTGCTTTGGAGTTAGTTTTAAAATTGGAAGATATGAGTCATCCAACTTTGTTGTACCTTTTCAAGACTTTTTCTACTCTTTTGGGTCCCTTGCAATTCCATATGAATTTTAACATCAGCATGATAATTTCTACAAAGCAGCCAGCTCAACTTCTGATAGGGATTGTGTTAAAGCTGTAGATAAGTTTGAGGATTATTGCCATCTTAACAACATTAAGTATTCCAATCCATGAACGGTGGGATTTTTTTTCCATATATTTAGATCATCTTTTATTTCTTCCAACAATATTTTATAGTTTTCAAAGTATAGTAAGTTTTGTGCTGCTTTTGTTAAGTTTATTCGTACTCTTTTTCACAGTATTTTAAATGCAGTTGTTTTCTTTCATTTGTGGATTCTTCATTACACATTATAAAAATAGTTATTTTTGTATATTGATTTTATATCCTGCAACTTCACTGAACTTGATTAGTCCCACTAGTTTTTTAGTTGTTTCCTTAGTTTTTTTTCTGCATGCAAGATTATGTCTAATAGAGACAATTTTACTTTTTCCTTTCCAATCTGAATGTCTTTTATTGTTTTTCTTGCCCAGTTGCCCTGGTTAGAACCTTTAAGACAATGTTGAATAGAAGTGACAATAATAGACAGCCTTGTCTGATTTCTGATTTTGGCCAACGGGAAAAGAGTCTAGTCTTTCCCCATTAAGTATGATATTAGATGTGGGATGTTTATACATGATGACCTTTTATTAGATTGAGGAAGTTCCCTTCTATTTCTAATTTACCTGAGTATTTTTACCCTGAAAAGGTATTAGATTTTATCAAACGCTTTTTCTGCATCTATTGAGATGATCATGTGGGTTTTGCCTTTTATTCTGTTGATATGATGTATTAACATTAGTTAATTTTTGGACGATAGATATATTTGCATCCCTGGGACAAATCCCAGTTGACCCTGCTTTATAGTTATGTTTGTATTGCTGGGTTCAGTTTGCTAACATTTTGTTGACAATTATGTCCATATTCATCAGCATGTTGGTCTTAGTTTTCTTGTTTTTTTTTTTTTTTTTTTTTTTGGTCTGGACTTGATATCAGGGTGATAGTGCCTTCGTAGAAAGTTTGTGAATGTTCAGATTTTTGGAAGAGCTTTTAAAGATTTAATATTATTCTTTAAATGTTTGATAGAATTCACCAGTCGAGCTACCTGGGCCTGGGCTTGCTTTGTGGGTAATTTTATGATTATTGATTCAGTCTCTCCCAGCTAAAAGTCTGTTGACATTGTCTTCTTGAGTCTATTTGGGTAGATTATGTCTTTCTAAGAATTTGTCTACTTCATCTAAGTTACATAATTGTTGTTGTCGTTTTTGAGACAGTCTCGCTTTGTCACCTAGGCTGGAATGCAATGGTGTGATCTTGGCTCATTACAACCTCCGCCTCCAGGTTCAAGTGATTCTCCTGCCTGAGCCTCCCAAGGTGCATACCACCATGCCTGGCTAATTTTTGTATTTTTAGTAGAGACGGGGTTTCACTGTTGGCCAGACTGGTCTCGAACTCCTGACCTCAGGTGATCTGCCTCTCTCGTCTCGGCCTCCCAAAGTGCTGGAATTATAGGTGTGAGCCACCATGCCCAGCCTTAAGTTATATAATTATTTTTTAATTTTAATTTTTACCTTTTACAGAGACACGTCTTGCTGTATTGTCCAGGCTGGTCTCCATCTCCTGGCCTCAAGCAGTTCTCCCAATTAGGCCTTCCAAAGTTCTGGGATTACAGGCGTGAGCCACTGTGTCTGTCCTAAGTTATCGAATTATTGACATACTGTTGTTTATAGTATTCCTTTATAGTATTTTTTTTTTTTAATCTCTGTAAGGTTGGTAGAATGTCACCTCTTTCATTTCTGATTCTGGTAATTTCTTTTTCTTGGTCAGTCTAACTAAAGGTTTATTTATTAATTTAATCATAAGCCTTTAAATCTATTATATCTAATAAACCTTTAGTATAAACGTAATAAAATCTGCATTACACAGATATTATGTAATTATGTAACTCAGATGAAGTTGACAAATTCTTAGGAAGAATTCTTAGAAAGAAAAGTTTATTTAGTTGACCTAAATAATTTATTTAGCTCTTTTAGCTTCATTTATCCTTTAGTTTATTTAGATCCTTTCATTTTATTGATCTTTTCAGAGAATGAGCTTTTGGTTTTATTGGTTTTTTTATGTCATACTGCTATCCTCATACTAATATATATGGACATTTATTTTTAAATTAGATTCTCACAATTGAACTTTTAAAGATTTGTCAAGTATTTGGAAATGTTTTCTGAGCATGTTGTTTGTTTAATCAGATTCTCACGTGCTTAACACTGGAAATGATGTGAAAGAAAATGTCAAAAGCGATTCAGTACTGCTGACGAGTGGAAAGTACGATCTGAAGAAACAGTGCAGTGTCACTCAAGCCACTCAGACAAGTCCTTGGCCTTCTCAGTCAGCTAACTTTCCTGAGTGCTCCTCTGACTTTACTAAGGAACAGGTAATCGGAAACCTAATTCAGATTCAGTTTCAGCAATTAAATAATTAAGTATTAAGATACTAATAGTGAAATGTATTGTTTGCTTATTTAAATAAAAAGTACCCAGTGCTTGTTCTTCTGTCCAGGTGCTGTGCTAGGTGCTATGGTTATAGTGTTGAGCAAGATAAAGAAAAATTTAGTGCCTTCTGCCTTCCTCTAGTGCTGTCTTAGTATTTTTGTGATTTTTCCTCGTAGATTCTTTTTTATTTAAAAAATCAATTAATATTCAAGTGTACATACTATATAATTTTACTTAATTGTTTAACAAAATTTTTTCGTATTGCTATATTTGTTTAATATTTATTTTTAATGGCTGAGTAATATGGTTTTGGGTACGCTATCATTTCTGAAACTTTCTCTAAACATTTATTAACATTCGTGTTGCTTCTAAGTTTTTTTTTTTTTCCATTTTAAAGAAACAGAATGTTCAGCAGAGTTTTAATCTGGATGATAAAACCATAGAATGAATTAATTCATTTGTTCAGTGAGGATTTATTCAATGCCAACTCTAAGCCAGGTATATAGAATGGAATAGTATGACCCCTAACTATTGAAGAACTCAAAGTCTAGTGGAACAAGAGTGTTCAATTGATAGTCACAACATACTGTGTGAGATGCTATACTACAGATGAAGGAAAGTATAGGAAACTACCTCACCAGGTCTATAAGGCAAGAATTGTTAAGCTAGAACTAGAAGAAGTTTGAGAACTATTTGAACTTAACTGCATACATTTTAATATATCTGTGTAATGCAGATTTTATCACATCCCCAGACTTAGGAATGTCTATGTTTGCTCTAATATATTTGCTCTAATATAGCCATTCCTAGTTATGAGGGAATGGCTCTAAAAGGATAAAATAATTGAACTAAGTCTTAAACGGATGGCAGAGGAGACCTATTGGCCATCTAGATGAAAATGTCTGATGACATGTTCAGAATTTGAGTCTGGAGCTCAGGAGAGAGGTTTGTGCTAGGTGAGTCTATTTATGATAGTTGGAGCCATGGGAGTAGATAAGATCATCCAAGAAAGTGACTCATGACAAGAGAAGACCCAGCAATGGAACTAACAGAATGTCAAATTTTAAGACTTTTTAAAAAGTAGAAGAAAAGATGAAAAGGGCATGCATAGATTAAAAGGGATAAATATGAAACAGCTGTGTCATAAAAGCCAAAAAAGGAGAGAGGCTGAGAAAGTAGGGGTAGTGGGTAGTTCAGCATTGTCTAAAGCCATAGAGAGGTCCAGGAAAATTCATATGAAGCAAAGTCACTTAGTTAGACTTGGAAATTAGAAGTTAGTGTTTTGTATTACTGGGTCAAAACATGGGAATATTTTTTAAGTCTTGATGTATGTTTCCAAATATTGTCTCAAAGCAATTTTCAGCTTAAGTGCACCCTCACCAGCATTGTACATTTTTACTATCCCAAGTGTCATGCCTTTGGATACTGTATAAATAGTCTACATTTCCTGAAATGATTAAATTATCTTATCCCCACCCCCCACCATTTATCATTTCAGCTCATGGAAGAGAATGAATTTCTTAAACAGGAACTGGCTAAAGCTAAAATGGCTCTTGCAGAGGCTCACTTGGAAAAAGATGCACTTCTTCATCATATAAAGAAGACGACAATTGAATAACAGAAGTGGCAGTCAAAACTCAAATTATAGCTCTGGAGTAGGAAGGTTATATTTATAATCTGGATGTTATCAGTTAGGGGAAGACTTTCATTTTCATGAAAAGACGATAAAACAAAATGGAATGTGATAAAGTGGTGACTGTTCCAAAGCCAGTTTAAAAGGTATTAGGTACGAGCATTACAATCTTTTTGTTGTTCTGTGTTTGGGGGCTTAACCCTCTTTTAAACTGGTGTGATCTAGGGAAGTCAACACATACTGTAAAATAATTACATGCCTAAGGAAAAGAAGCTGTCATTTCCTAATTTTGATATCTCATTGTAGGCATTTTTTTTAAAATGAAAAAGGAAAACCTCTTGTGTTCACACAGATTGCTGAATTGGTTTCTCAATATTTGTTAATAATTTACTATTATTTACACAGATTCAAATGCTTTTATGGCTAATGTAAAATGAAAAGAGGCTTACATTTTAAATGTTATTAAAATTATGTACTTAAATCTATCATTAATTATTGTAAAAAGCCCAATCAGATTAATAAATTATATAATTGTTGAATTTGAAAACTGGAAAATCATCACCCTACTGAACTTTTAAATATCTTGAAAATGTGAAAAAAAATCACTTTAAATAATGGGTACATTGTATAAGTGGAAACTATAATTTTCAACAAAAAGATGGTACAAATGTAAAAATAAAAAGCACAAACCTTATGAAAGCAAAATACTAGAGTATATGGCCAAGTGATTTAAAAAGCATTACTTGTACATTCCTTTAAACATTTCTTGTTAGAAGTAAAACAGTAATTTATCCTGCTAACTTTGGCAGCATTTTAACTATAAAAATTTTGATTAATACTATTTATATTAATTTCTTTATCTTTATTTTTCCTCTTTAAGAAGTTGTTTTTGGAAAATTATTTTTCCTTGCACATAAGACAATTTTATACCATTCTTATAGTATCATATTAGGTGGATGTTTGCACATACTGAATTTATAAAGCTAGTTTTGAATACAGCTCTATGTGAGAGAGAGATATATACACATACACAGTCTTCTATAATAAGAGTCGTTGGTGAATTTTGAATTCTATTTTGTTAGGAATTAAGGTTGAAATCAACATGAAAGAAAATCATGCATTATAAAATAAAAATACATAGGTGATAAGAAACAGAGACTTTTAAAGATTTAAAATATATTTCTGATAGAATTAAACTAAGTGATGTCTATTTTAAAATTCACATTCTTAAATATATCCAAGATAGAAAATGAAATAGCTGGACTACTCTTTCTTTAAGATACTTGAAAATTTTAAACCACATTGTGACACTTTATGGTGCTTTGCGTGTTTGGCATGACATATATAGTAGTCCTTATATCTGAGTGCTTGGGGGGAAAATACATATTTCATTTACATTAAATTTTGGAGTGATTTAGGCTTTATTGAAAACAGAACTGGCCTTTTTTCTTCCCTTCAGGATTTTCATTGACATTATTTAAAATATACAGGCACTGTTTTGGGTACTATGGATATAGCCAAGAACAAATTGATAATGTTTTACCTCGGGGTATTCAAAATATCATAATGTCTTGTTATTCTAAAACTATATAATAGCCTTAGATTAAATGTGCAAAGATCTAATTAAAGATTTAAAATGTATAGCTTATGTCCTTAGAAGAGAACATTTTATTTTTAGATATACATTCAGCAAAAACAGTTTGTTATGGAAAAGAAGGATTGATGGGACATTAACTTCTTCAGAGTTAACATTGTTTCTCAAGATTGACCTATTCTGTATAAATTTAAATTTTTCTGTGGTATATTGCTATAGAAGCTGAATGCCTTACTTACTACTTTTAAATTTATTTGGTCTTCCCAAGGAAATCACACAAACAGTAAAGATTATGATGAACTGAGCATTGTATGTGCTTAGTTTGATTTTTTTTAATTTATAAGGAATTCTATTTTTATAGATGTTTAAAATTCATTAAATACTCTATTCTGAGAGGGAGGTATTATTCAAATGTTCTAAGTTTCCCTAAGGCTTAGAAAGGACAAGTAACTTGACTGAAATCACAATTCGCAATGTGGTCTTTGGACTTAAAGCCTTGTTATATGCTTTTATTATAGCTTAGTCATTAATTCACACATTGTCCCTTATCTTTTTTATCTTTTAAAGATGACCACACAACTTTAAATTGTGTGTGCACATCTATGTAGGAGGTATATGTTTCCCTGTTTGTGTTATTCAAACTAGCTAAAAGACAGCAGGATGGTTATTGTTTAAGTTAACCCCAAACTGTTTAGCAGTGTCAGAAATACAGGAAAAACCTGTTAATTGACTTACCAGCATTTTTTTTTAAATTACATAATTTAGATATAAAGTTGTCATGTCCTGAAATTTAAAAAAAAGAAATCTCTAGCTGAGACATGTTAATGGTTAAGCGATGAAAATGGTAATTGTGCTTTGCTTTTTATTTTTTGTTTACTTTTGAGTTTTATTGTTTTCTATGTTTTTAAGTAAAAATTATATATTTATGGTGTACAACATGATGTCTTGATACATGTGTACATTGTGGAATGGCTAAATCAAGCTGTCTATTGTATTACCTCACATTTTTTTGTGGCAAGAACACTTAAAATTTTGTAACAATTTTCAAGTATACAACATATTGTTATTAACTATAATCACCTGATGTACAGTAGATCTCTTGAACTTATATTTACTAACTGCAGTTTTGTGTCCTTTTACAGACATCTCCTGTTTCCCTAACCCCCAGCCTCTGATAACCAGAATTTTACTCTCCATCCCATTAAGTTAACTTTTTTTGCACTCCATTATGTGAGATCATGTAGCTTTTGGCATTTGTCTTTCTGTGCCTGGCTTTTTTCACTTAACACAGTGGTCCCCCATGTAGCTGGGACCACAGGTGTGTGCCACCACACCCAGATTTGTCCATGTTGTCAGAAATGACAGAATTTCCATTTTTTAAAATGTTGAATAGTATTCTCTTGTGCATATTTTCTACATATGCTTTATCCATCATCCATTGATGGACAGTTAAATTGATTCCATATCTTTGCTATTGTGAGTAATGCTGTAGTGAACATGGGATTATTACAGATGTCTCTTCCACATACTGATTTCATTTTCTTTGAACATAAATAGTGGGATTGGTGGATCATATGGTAGTTCTATTTTTTTTAATGTTTTGAGGACCCTCCATACTGTTTTCCATAATGGCTATAATAATTTACATTGCCAATAGTGTACAAAGCTTTTATTTTCTCTGCATCCTCTCCAACACTCCTCTTTTGTCTTTTTGATAATAATCATTCTAACAGGTCTGATTACAGTAGCTTTGTAGTAGGCTTTCTGTGCTTTGCTTTTTAATTTTATGTCTGTGAAAAACATTGGGTATTTTGAATTTTTTTCTTTTCTCACCTTATCCTAGAACTTGAGGCTGGGCACAGTAGCTCATGCCTGTAATCTCAGCACTTTGGAAGGCCAAGATAGGCAGATCACTTGAGGTCAGGAGTTCGAGACCAGCCTGGCCAACATGGTGAAACCCCATTTCTACTAAAAATACAAAAACTAGCTGAGTGTGATAGCACATGCCTGTAGTCCAAGCCAATCGGGAGGCTGAGGCAGGAGAATCGCTTGAATCTGGGAGGCAGAGGTTGCAGTGAGCTGAAATTGTGCCACTGCACTCCAGTCTGGGTGACAGAGTGAGACTCCATCTCAAAAAAAAGAACTTGAAAATTCCCCCATATATACTAGTTGGGGGTGAAGCATTATTTCTAGTTAAGTCATGTAAGAGTGACTGTGTATGACCAACGGCAAGTATGGGTGGAAAAAATTAAATTTTTTCGTGGGTTTTTATTTAATACATGCCAGTAGGGGAGTTAGGAGTTACACTTTCTCTTTAACAAGTTTGTGTTAACCTACAATCTAATCAAGACATCTTATGCCACCACCATTCACCCTAGTTCCCAAACTGGTAACATAGAAATCATCTTAAGACATCTTGCTCTCTTTATCACTTCATCATCAAGTCCTGTCATTTTTACCTTGTAAACATCTCTCAGATTTGTCTACTTCACTTCTCACCACTCCCTAATCTAAGCTACCATCAGCACCTTTTGTCTGTATGACTGCAGTTGTCTCCTAACCGGTCTTCCTGCAGTGACTCTGGCCCTTCCTGTATTCACTCTACTACAGGCAGAATTCTTTTTGTTCAAAGTGCAATTTTAATCAGGACAACCCACCTACCCCCACTTGTACCTCTAGCTTAAAAGACTTCAGTGGCTTTTTATTGTTCTTACAATGAAAAGGAAATCTTTTATGTGACCTCATAGGTCAAATATATTAGGGCAACTATCTATAGTGTATTTCCAAGCATTAACATAATTGCTGTCTCAGTGGCTGGCACATCACCTAAAAAACAATAGAGGTTACCTATTCTTGTTCCCATTTAGCCTCATTATGTACCAGGTTTTACTTACACCTTCATTGTCCTTTAAGCATTTGGAATAAGAATTACAGTGTTTCATTCAGCATAAGACTTTTGTCATGCTGGTTCTTTGGCCTGAAATATCTATCTCTTCCCATTGCCTAATTAATTCCTGTTTGTCTTTCAGATCTTAGCTAGTTCATCACTTCCTCAGTGTTCATCACTTCCCTAATTTCTGTCACAGAGTAAGACCCACTGTTATACGTCTCACCTGACCACGTACTTCTACTTAGCATTTAACTTGTGTGATTTTTTATGTATTGGTTTGATTAATGTCAGAACCACTAGATTGTAAACTCCATGAGGACAGGAATTTTGTTTCTGTCATTGTCATTGTTCAACTTTGTATTCTTTATGCCTCATACAGTGCCTGGCACATAGTAGGTGCTCAGTAACTTTATTGAAAGAATAAAATGAATGGATAAGGTATCAAGGATTTTTTTCAGATATTGAATTCTTCCTTTCAGTTGGATTGAAGGGAGATGGAACACAGAAAAGTAGTTGCTGGTAATTATTAAAAGGGGGCAAACTTCTTGAATCCAAAGGGGAAAAAAAGATGGGAGGGTGAAGTGGGAGTATTTACCATACTATGGGCTTCTCGATAGTGAATATGTGAAGTTGTAGTTGATTTATCACAAAACAAAATTAGCATATCACTTCATGGTACTACAATGCCAGAATGTCATCTAGCTTTGATTGTAACATATGATGTTGTGGCTGTTGAGATCTGCCAATATTCTCAACTAAACAGATGCAAGTAAGTCCAAAAGAGTAGGGCTAAAGTAGTTTCTCTTTGGGAAGTTGACTAATACTCAGAATTAATTTCAGTTATGCCTAGTTCCTTAAGGTGCAAACAGTCCCCTTTTAGTCTCAACTTTAAAGTGCTATAGAAAGTAAATTTTGAGCTATGTTTCAGTTTTCCTTTTTAATATATAAAATACCAAGTTAGAGATACACAGTATATAGAAACACTAAAGAAGTAATGTTTTTAAAATGCAAATTTTATTAAATTCTAATACTTGATCCTTTTTTTGTTTTTGAAACAGGGCCTTGCTCTGTCACCCAGGCTGGAATGTAGTGGCACAGTCATAACTCACTGTAGCTTCCAGCTCCCGACTCAAGCAATCCTTCCCCATTAGCCTCCTGTGTAACTGGGACTACAGGTGTGTGCCACCACACCCAGCTATTTTTTCTTTTAAGAGATGGGGTCTCCCTCTATTGCCCAGGCTAGTGTTGAACTTCTGCCTCCCAAAATGATCAGATTTCAGGCATGAAATGCCACACCCAGCCAATATTTTTTTTTTTTTTTTTTTTTTTTTTTGAGACAGAGTTTCACTCTTGTTACCCAGGCTGGAGTGCAATGGCACAATCTCGGCTCACAGCAACCTCCGCCTCCTGGGCTCAGGCAATTCTCCTGCCTCAGCCTCCTGAGTAGCTGGGATTACAGGCACGCGCCACCATGCCCAGCTAATTTTTTGTATTTTTAGTAGAGACGGGGTTTCACCATGTTGACCTGGATGGTCTCAATCTCTTGACCTTGTGATCCACCCGCCTCGGCCTCCCAAAGTGCTGGGATTACAGGCGTGAGCCACCGCGCCCGGCCCCAATATTTGTTTTTATTCTGAGACGGAGTCTCGCTCTGTCACCTAGGCTGGAGTATAATGGCACGATCTCAGCTCACTGCAACCTTTGCCTTCCAGGTTCAAGCAGTTCTCCTGCCTGAGCCTCCCAAGTAGCTGAAACTACAGGTGCATGCCACCATGCGCAGCTGATTTTTGTATTTTTAGTAGAGGTGGGGTTTCACCATCTTGGTCAGGCTGGTTTTGAACTCCTGATCTCAGGTGATCCCCCTGCCTTGGTCTCCCAAAGTGCTGGGATTATAGGCGTGAGCCATCACTCCCAGCCACTTGCTACATTTTTAATTTTGGGTTCTTGAGATGGCCTTTTTTGAGGTGTAAAAATGAAAGTAGCATGAAACAAAAATGAAAGCATGATGATTTTTTTATAAACCATTAGATATTAGACAATTGTGAATTTTAAAGAAATTCATGTGAATGTTAAAATACTGAAATTTAGCATATATGTTGTCAACAGTATTGTATAATCTTACCAGGTTTGAGAATTTGAAACCTTTTAGAGAAGCATATTAAGAATTACAAACTCAGTGGTTTTCCTGCTTTATATATAGTATTATAAATCATGTGCAATAAATTTTTGGTCCCAGAAAAAAAAATTGCTTAATAAAAAGAGTGATCTGGAGTTTTTAAAATTCTGAAATCTTTTAGAAAGGTAATATTATATAACTTATGTTAGTTTTTATTTTCAACATGCTGTCATCAATCAAAAAATCGTTATTTACAAACTATACTATTTGAATGGTAAGTGCAATTTCTTGTATTATTTTAAAATTTATTGGTTAATTTGTTGACCCCATTGACCTGAATTTCTCTTAATTCTTCATTCTATTTTTAATTCTTCATTGTGTTTAGGAATACTTGAGCATTATGAAGGATAGGAAAGTATAGCAAGGTGATGAACCTTTCTTGCAGCCATTCAGCAGAAGCATTTTGATTTGTATAATGAACTCAAATACTAATTCAAAATGTCATCAAGAATGAGAATTTTTTTTTTTTTGAAGAAAAATAGACACATGAATAAATGTTTAAATAAGAAAAAGATGATCAGGCACAGTTGTTCACGCCTATAATCCCAGCACTTTGGGAGGCTGAGGTGGGTGGATCACTTGAGGTAAAACCTCGTCTCTACTAAAAATACAAAAATTAGCCATGTGTGGTGGTGTGCACCTGTAGTCTCAGCTACTCGGGAGGCTGAGGCAGGAGAATCACTTGAACCCGGGAGGTGGAGGCTGCAGTGAGCTGAGGTCTTGCCACTGTGGTCCAGCCTGGGCAACAGCGCGACTCCGTCTTAAAAAAGATCAGAAGTATCTACGTTGGCATGGTGGCCCACACCTGTAATCCCAGCACTTTGGGAAGTTGAGGCAGGTGGCTCATTGGAGGTGAGGAGTTCGAGACGAGCCTAGCCAACGTGGTGAAACCCTGTCTCTACTAAAAAAAAAAAAAAAAAACACGTGCCTGTAATCCCAGCATGAGAATAGCTTGAACCAGGGAGGCAGAGGTTGCAGTGAGCTGAGATCACACCACTGCACTCTAGCCTGGGTGACAGAGTGAGGCCCTGTCTCAAAAAAAAAAAAAAAATTATTGGCAGGGTGTGGTGGCTCATGTCTGTAATCCCAGCAGTTTGGGAGGTCGAAGAAGGCGGATCATCTGAGGTCAGGAGTTCGAGATCAGCCTGGCCAACATAGAGAAACCCTGTTTCTACTAAATATACAAAATTAGCCAAGTGTGTTGGCACATGCCTGTAATTCCAGCTATCCTGGAGGCTGAGGCAGGAGAATTGCTTGAACCAGGGAGGCAGAGGTTGTGGTGAGCTGTGAACATGCCATTGCAATCCAGCCTGGGCAACAAGAGCAAAACTCCATCTTAAAATTTTTTTCGGAAGGATATGGGTAAAATAAGTGTTTAGGGGTATGATGAAAGTCCATCCTTCACAATATTTAAAATCACTCCAAGTCCGGGTTCAGTGTCTCATGCCTATAATTCCAGCACTCTGGGAGGTGGAAGGATCACTTGAGGTCAGGAGTTCAAGACCAGCCTGGCCAACATGGTGTTTTTAGTCTCTACTAAAAATACAAAAATTAGCTGGGTGTGATGGCTAGCACCTGTAATCCCAGCTACGTGAGAGGCTGAGGCAGAAGAATCACTTGAACCCAGGAGGCAGAGGTTGCAGTGAGCCAAGATCACATCACCGCACTTCAGCTTGGGCGACAGAGCAGGATTCCGTCTGAAAAACAAAAAACCCCACTCCGACTAAAATAGATACACAGTGTTAATCCAAGCAGGGGATTTTAAAAATAATTAGACTGAACAAGTCAGGTGTAAGGAAATATGTTTAACAAAATTCCAATAATTAAGCTCTTATGAAAGATCTATAATAAAGAATTCACTTGGCAAGTATCATTTGAATTAAGACCTAAAGTATGTTGGTTGTTGTGCCTCACACTGGAAATTCCAGCACTTTGGGAAGGTTTGCTTGAGACAGAAGGATTGCTTGAGCCCAGGAGTTTGCACTCAGCCTGGGCAGCATAGAGAGACTTTGTCTCTACTAAAACTTTAAAAAATTAGCTGGGCATGGTGGCACAGGCCTGCAGTCATAGCTACTCAGGAGGATGAAGCAAAGGATCACTTGAGCCCAGGAGTTCAAGGCTGCAGCGAGCTATGATTGTGCTACTGAGCTCCAGCCTAGGCAACAGTACGACTCTGTCTCTGGAAAAAACAAAAACAAAAAAACACCAAAACCCTAAAGCAGATAAATTGGCACATACAGAAATTCTTCAATTTAATGTAAAAAAAAAAAAAACTGGCACATGCAATTCAAATTTTCATTAAATGATATACCCACAAGGGTATATCTATTGGAATCTTATTGTTCCAATTTAACATGAAAAGTGAGTCTTGACTCCCATTGCTATTGGAGACCTTTTATCATTATACCAATAATGTTGGGGCAATTTAGTGTTTATTTGAATTCAGTATAGTTCCTTTATAATTTATCAGCATAATCGGCATAGCTATGATAGCCATATTTCGTGCTTTTCCCACTAGTTTTATTTTTACTCCATTTCTTGCAGTTGAACAAGAGATTTTTCAATCAAAACATTGGAACTATGAAGACGGAAGAGCTTTGAAGAGAGATCTAGAATGAGCAAATTAAGCAACGTTTTAATATCTTAACGCTATAAATTTCCAGAATTTAAAACGTTCCTGCAGTATAATATCTAAAAACATGCTAAGGCTAAGTATATCTTTGTTTTAAATGTTAAGTTTTTCCTAGCACAGATATTTGAGAATTACTATATTCATATATGTAATCCTTTTCTGTACATTCTATTGGGGGCCCAGTTAATACTTTGCAATTTTTATGTGTAACAATAATTCTACCCTCCTCTTTATTTATTTATTTTTTTGCCTTCAGGAACAATTGAGTTTCTTGTTAGTATATCTTCTTTTTACTGAGTATCCTTCAATTTTGATTTTTAGGGGTAGTTCCATAAATATGTCCAGAGGCCATTATAGTGCCACCAGTTTTAGAGATTGAAGCACTGATGATTTTATACTTACCATCATCCCTCCATATCCATGGGAGATTTGTTCTAGGGTCCCTTTGGATACCAAAATCCAAGTATCTTCAAGTGAGGGAGTTGGTCCTTTGAATCACCAGATTTCATATCCTCATTTGGTTGTGGACATGGAACCCGTGGATATGCAGGGCTGACTGTATTAGTTGAAAAAAAAAAATGTATAAGTGGACTTGTGCAGTTCAAACCCATGTTGTTCAAGGGTGAACTGTAC